AAAAAGCATTCGTACAGCAGAAAATAAAATTCACCCCGTCGACTTGATGGACACCCCAGCACTGCAATAAAAACTTGGTTAATAAAAAAAACCACCCCAGCATTGCGTGTTGCGCCCTCCCTCTCTTGGGGTGCAGTACTACGATGCCGCTGGGGTCACTTAAACCCCCAGAACTGAGCCTCCACTTCAGTCAACCCCCTTTGATTGGGCACATGAGCCGGTGTAGCCATTGCTCATGTGCACCACATTTCCCCGCAACCCCCTAGTTCGGGTCGATTCAGCATTTCGGTACGTTGAAGCAAGAAGGACACCCCAACCGGGAATCAATGAATAGAGAGGGGAGTTTTCAGTAAAAACACATTAGATCCACACCCTCCAAATTGCCAACCAAAAGGGCCCCAGCAGCTCACTGAAAAAATTGATTAAAACTAAAAAATAAAAACAGCAATCAATTAACGATTTATCATTAACAATTTATAAATGTATTGAAGGTATCGTTGATTATTGGCACCGTCCGAGGGGAAATCGATGACTTGTAAGGGGAATTTTTGGTAAAAACAGAGAGGGAAACTGCTGGAGAATAGCGTGGGTGTACACCATCCAGGGGTGACTGAGTAATGAGCCAACGGCGTCCTCCGATAGGTGCCGTCCACCAGCTGGAGCAAGCCCCCATTGGCCAATTCCCCCCAACAATTTGTTTTTATCACTACGCAGGCACCTCCGTCGACATACGGATAAAACCTGTGTGCTATCGGTTTATTCGCAAACGCGCTGAGAGTCCGCGTGGAAGGCACACCGTCGTCTTCACCAGGGAGTTGCGCTTCGACGTGCATTACGACCAACATCGTCGTTCTCGTCAAGCCCTCCGACAATTCCCTAAGGGTGTGCATTATTTTTATTTATTTATTCATTTATATATATTTTTTATTTTCATATCGTCAGATCGAATTCCCGCGGAGTGACAACGGGTAACACTTCACTCACTGGGTAACATTTACCCACTCTTTCTTTTTTTTTCTTTTATTTCACAAGGAAGAATAATGGTGCGAGAATTTTCCACGAGTTTGGCTATTGGCCTCGCCCTCACGGCCTGTGCTCTTTTCCCTCCGACAACCACGGCCATCGATCTTAGCCGATTTTACAGCCACTCACACTCCAAACGCTCCGGTAAGTATTCATCTCCATTCAATTTCATACACCCTTTTTTTACTTATATTTTTTACTTATATTTTTAGTCGCGGTGTGGAATTGCGATGTACTCGGTATATTGTAGAGTTCTTGTGTACTCAAGTGGGAGTGCCCTTTCGGCTAAGCTCATTCGTTTCCATTCTTTGTGGATCGATAGAAGTCTGATGCGAGCAACAGTTGCTCCCCTCGACGGAGAGGCCGAAACGAGAAAAAAATGTGTTATGGGATTTTTTTTATAGACACATGCTACGATGAGCTTTAATATTGCCGATGATATGGGTAAGGGGGTGGTAGAGAGAGGAGGGAGTTATGGAAGAGCTGGGGAATGTGAGGAAATTGTTCCTCGGAAATTCAGGTGCAATTTGGGTCAGATTGTATATGTCAACGGCAAATCAACGACGTGAGTTTATCAAGGTCGGGTGGGCTATTTCGTCGAGGATAGGATTGATGCATTTACCTGGTTGTTAAAGCTTGCGGTTGTCAAATACGAGGGGAAACGGTTGCTCCTGTATTTACGACACCCTCGAGCCAGGAAATTTCAATCGAACTCGTTACCGTCGGCCCCTCCAGCTTCTAGTTGGGAGTATTTTATGTTATTACCGTGGAATTGGTGGGAATTAATTATTTTACGTGTACCTGGTGAAATTTCCTCGGGGAGTACAACTTTTCAAGTGGTAACACGGATTCCATGGAATTACGTGCAGAGCACTTTGAGTGCAGCATGTTGTGTTGTATTTTCGAGTGGTTGGAAATAATAGAGTGGATCTCGTACTTTCAGGTGATGCATGCCATCCTTACGAGCCATTCAAGTGTCCTGGTGATGGCACATGTATTTCGATTCAGTACCTGTGCGATGGAGCCCCGGATTGCACTGATGGTTATGACGAAGATTCGCGCCTCTGCACAGCTGGTAATCTCAAGGCTCTATGAATTCTTCAACAATTCCTATTCCCTAAACCCATGTATTTTCAAAAAAATTTATTTCTTTATTTATCAAAAATACGGAAGATATACGGGATTAATTTTTTATACGAGATTCGAAAATTTTGCGGTTGAAGATAAAATTATTTCATGAAATCTGAATTTTTCTAGTTCTTAGTAGAAACTCAGTGGAGTAGAAATAGATGGGTAATTTAATTATCCAGGTTATTTTTTTTTTTGTCTTTATTGGGTTTATTTTCGGTGAGAAAATGCCATTGGTGAAGTTTTTCCGGAGTAGATGTGGGTGGAGGGGAATTGACCGGAATTGATTTTTATAGCAAAAAGACCACCGGTGGAGGAAACGGCGAGTTTCTTGCAGTCACTCTTGGCCAGCCACGGACCCAATTACTTGGAGAAATTATTCGGAAGCAAAGCGAGGGACGCCCTGGCTCCTCTTGGTGGTGTAAACATGGTCGCTATTGCTCTTTCCGGTGAGTTTCAAAGCTGACATATACGAGAGACATATACGAGTTGTCGAACCATTCGAAGAAGCAAACTAATTATTTTCTCTGAGAAAATTCATTGGAAAAAATATAATTTAAAATCAATTATGGCGTGAGAATTTTTATTTTCAAAATGTCTTCATGATTTATCAATTTAAAAAATACAATTTCAGTTTCTGTAAACCAGAAATTATTACTGATATCCAATTAATTACGGAAATTCAGTATTTGTAATGACTCCAGTAAATACATCTCATCAGGGAATTAGCTGATTATTCTAAGGCGAAAACATTGGGATTATCGATGATATTTAGTTGACAAATTGAAGAATTTTCTCAGTAAATTGTCGAATAATCCGGGCACAGCCCGTAGAATTGAGAATTCATGTGTTGACGAGAAATCACGATGATCCTTAAACACAATGATAAATCCACAAGTTGAGATTTTTGTGTATTCAGCCCCTAGGAATCCGAAGTCTCATTTGAAGTCTCATTTGAGATTCCCCCGAGTCATCACCACTCTGATGTCCCCCATAAATTCTCACCTCGTTGGCAATTCGAATGGCGTTCACCAGACGTCATCCATTTCTCCACACTCATCCATCTGGTCCCAACAGCTCTGATAAATCCCCAATTCTCCCCTGATTTGAAAAAAAAAAATTAATCATTCAATACATCTCCTCCCCAGAATCTCAAACGATCGAGGATTTCGGGGCTGCCCTCCACCTCATGCGTTCCGATCTCGAGCATCTGCGTTCCGTATTCATGGCAGTGGAGAATGGAGATTTGGGTATGCTAAAATCCCTAGGAATCAAGGACTCGGAGCTCGGTGATGTCAAGTTCTTCCTGGAGAAACTCGTCAATACCGGCTTCCTCGATTAAAAATATTCCTCAAATGGCAGAAGGCAGTTATGAAACGCGTCATCGCTCCTGCCTCCTGCGGTTTTTCCCGTTGATGGATCCCGAGGGCAGATCAAACTTTATTCACTCCAGTTTTACGAGACAGTTGGAATTTCAAATAATCCACAACGTGAAAATATGTGGGAGAGCAGTGACGCGGGTAATGGCTGAGGTGCCCTCTAATATCAATTTTGTATACGAGACATTCTGCACTATTCCCACAGCATCGCGATAAATTTTTATACGATATTCAACAATATATTCTCAATTTTTCAAATACTGACTCATCAATTCCTCGGGAACCTCGTCAACATCTTCGCAGTTGAAAATTAATTTCGAACTATCTTCTTTGATGCTATCCCACTATTTAAAATCTACCTGACCCTGAATGAAAAAAATTTCAATGAAGGATACATTTTGGACTGAAGAATTACGTGTTTCCAATTAGAAGATAAATATCGCTCCCAAATTTTCTAATGAAGAATACTTTATCCTTCAATCCAATGCTCTCCTGTAAACTTTGTTTCAATTATTTAAAAATAATTTGAATTGAATTCTCCAGTAACAGACGACTGGTCCCCATGATGCTGTGAGAATAGTGCAAAATATCCCACACTCGAGATACCAGTCTCTTTTTTATTCCGTTATACATTGAATTATTTAAAATTGATGGTTGAAAATTTGTCGATGTGAAGTGTCTTTTCCATTGTTCTTCATTCCCTCGGCTCATGTTCGCGCTTTGTGAGCTGAGGGAACCAGAGAGCAGTATCTCTTCGTATTTATAATACTAAGGATGAAAAAAAAACTTAACAATCATCTTCTTACCCTTTTCGAGCTTAAAGCTTTGCGTATTCATGCACGAGTTACATGGAACCAGGGAAGATGAAACAAAAGGGATAATGGAAGGATTCACCAGGTATTTGCCTGGGGCTAGATGTAATAACAGGGACTCGAGGGATCACATGATTTCTAGAATCCGATAACGATGATAATCATGTTATGGAGATTCTAATATGTTTATGGCCTAGATTATTATTCGGGGGGCTATTTCCTATATCGGTGTTATATACAATTTATGGAGACATTTGGGGGACGAGGGACAAATCTCTACAATGATGAGGCTATTTCTTTGATGAAAAGGGATTACCTTTTTTTTATCTCCCTTTCTTCGTTCTTTTCATTTTCACTCTGTCTGGACTTTCTATGAATTCAGCAGAGATTAATTAATTGCGAGTTTAATGTCAGGGATGGTGGAGTAAAAAATTAATGGACTCAGTTAATTGAATCTTTGAGGCATGCCGCAAGAAGGGAAATGCGTTAGAAAAATTGGAGTGCTATGCAAGGAAAATTTTTGAGGATTTATCCGGAAATACCAGATGAATGTGAAAACTTTCAGGTGTTACTCAGTGAAATTGATTGTGCACTGCATTTTTTTTAAGGAAGTTCCCTTAGGGTTCAGTTATTCGTGGAATATTTTCTTTTCTCGGATGTCCAGTACTTCAGGCAGTTTTAGTTTCAATATTTCATCCCGGATATTGACCGGTACCTCTGAATTTAATGGTGAGTGTTTTACAGTAGCTCTCTGTTGTTAACTTCAAATTGCTCTATCGATCAGCTAATCCGAGTGGAAAAAATACTTCGACGAATGCCACTTGTGCTCCAGAATTGATCGGGTATTTGTTTAATACATAAAAATTTCTCGTGCTGTGCATTTGAAATTTATATTTGACATTTTCGTACCGTCATGAAGAGAAATTTTTTGGGAAGATTCTACGACTGAGAAAACTCTTCTGATGCTTGCACGTGAGTTTTTCCAGAATTTGTGTGAAAAGGTCGTATAATACAGAAAATCTTCACGTACCAGCCCTTGAACACTTGAACATTTGTTCCCTCTGCGGCACTCTGGGTTTTTTCCCCAGTGGAATATTTTTCGCTGAAAATTTATCCGTGCACGAAGCCATCGAGAAACACCCGATAATTTCAGAGGACTTGTGATATTACCACGGTAGTCACAATATTTGGGTTGTTTATCCTTATCACGGATGTACGTGGAAGGAATAAATTAGGGTGGAGTCACCCCATGCGACGAATGAATTTAAGGCGTGGGCCATTCGGAGTAACGTGCGACTACACGACAGTATAATATTTTCGATTTCTTTCTCCATCTGTTGATTATATCTGAGAATTTATCGTGTACATATCAATTATATGCTTCCCACCACTGTACCTGTAAGTGTGCTTTTGATGCACGTCCCCCGCGACTTCGCAATCCAAACGGAATTTAAGACAAATCGCAAAGTGACAATTCTATTTCAGACTTTGAGAGGGCAGAATTTCCATCGAGTTGCGCATAATCCTTTTTATTTGGGGATTATTTTTACATGCGAGTGTCCAAGGTTTATCTATTTATGATTATTCGTCCTTTTGGGCGGACGAGGGCATCAGGTTGAAAGTATTTAGTGAATTATTTAGAGTTAAAGAAGAAACGCGGAAAACGGCAGTTTAGAATTTGATTTTTGTACTGTCTGCACTGTTAGGATTTTTTTCTGTTGAATTCCAAAATGGAATATTGCCAGATGTTGGAGTCTCTTTAATTATTCGGCCACTGCTATTATAAAAACTTATACAAATGTCTCTGCAATTTTTCTCTATTCATTCCTCCGCCACTCCTCTTCATTCAATTTCCGTACGCGGAGAGAAATATTCAGTGAAAATAAATACCAAGAATCAATTACTCGAAATTTTCCTCGGAATCGAAGAGATTAAATCAGATATCTTCAGTAAATTCTGAAACAAAATTGACACGTTATTTTTTCTACGTCTATTTAACTCAACTATAAAAAATTGTTAAACTTTCGACAGCGTATATTTTCCGTAATTTCCGCTTTCTCTCGTAATTTCTATTGAATTTTTCTCACCGCATAGAAATAGAAAATTAATTCTCCAACTTGTGCGACTCTCGTCAACGGAAAGTTCCTAACAGTGTAAACTTTGAAAGAAAAAAGTGACGAAAGGAGAGTTGAATGAAAAATAAACATATCGAAAGTAAAAATTGTGGTATTTAAATATTATAACGTCAAGCGTCACGTTGATATTGCATTATACAAACAATACAAATATTAAACATATCATATTTAATAAAAAATAGTATATTGGATAAGCAAGGATAATGAACCTATCTTCATTCCCCACCTTTCTTTGTCAAAAAAAAAATAGGGGTAAATCACCCAAGAGATGCGTAGAAAAGTAGAATAGTAGCTGATGCTGTGCATCATTAGACCCAAATGAACTCCAGGAAGAGGCAGAGAGAGAGTGGGACCCAATAACTTATATGAAACGAAAAACCATATCCTTGCTAAAGTTACATATCATGTAAATGAATAATATTGATTGAGAGTACTTTTATGAGGATAGAAGAAGAAGAAAATACTATTTTGGTATAAATGATACGAAACCCTTACCAGATATCAATTGTAGCGATTCAAAATAGGGCCTGAATCGCTCTAATTATTTTCTGGATAAAAAAAACCTTTGATTCATATCACCATCAATCGGGAATTGTAAAATCTCTTGAATTCTCGTAATCAGCACCGAATTTCATTAAACGACGATGAACGCAATGAATAACTGGAATGTCCGATATATTACGATTCAATACTGTATCTCAAACATATCATATGTGATAGAGTTAATAAAATTCACAATTCGCAATTTCCTCATGATAATTGCGTTATTCTCAGTATCACCCCATCGATGTCTGTATTTTATTGAATTATTTCTTGATAAGCAAATAAAGTCTGAACAAAATGAAGTCTCAGGTGTCTTATTCAATATTGTGTATTTACCATTGTTAAACAATTAAGTTTTATATTTTTTTATATTTATTGATGAGTAAGAGAGAGCGGGACTGGGGACAGGGCTGGGTGTTATTTATAATTATGATATCAGCATTTTTTTTTATTCTTCTCTAATAGTCAAACATTTTTTTTCTCTCATTTAGATTTTTTTTTATTCTCGTATATCAGCAATTCTCTGTTTTGGGAGAGAGAGAGATATCGGCGGAGAATTCTGACACATTTTTATAAACTATTCGTTTTAGATGAAAATAGTCTGACTCGAGAGAGTGAATACTACTTCAGGGAAGCGATGCAACGTGATTCAATTTTTTAAGAAGCCTCCAACGATGAATAGAAATGAAAGAGGGAAAAGATTTGAATGGATTTTCACCCAGCCCTGGAGGAGGATATCCCCTTCATTCTCCTCAATGTCGCAGAAGTAGAGGAGTCAGAGCAAAATGGATACAAGAAACGTATTTCCAGACATTCAAGAGCCGAGAATAAATTAATGAGTCGAGTATGAAGGCTCCACCAACAGTTGAATGGGGTTTTAACGTTTGAAAAGAGATTTAGTGCTCATTTACTTCTGACACCCTTCAAATGCCCCTTCGAATTTACGCTCGAAGAAGATCAAGTGTTTGAGGGAAAAAATTATTCCACTTTATTGGCAGCGGCTTTACGCTTGATAAAGGGTTTAGTGCCCAGTTTGCTCCTCGTCCTTTACATGAACAATGTGAATTACGGAGTGACATTGACTAATCATATCAAATGTAAACTATCGTTTCGAGTGGATTTAAATTGATCTAAGGAACCACGTGATACCTCGAAGAGCGATGGGTCGGTGTAGATGGGCTCACTGGGGTCAAAGCCACTGCGACGATTCACCGTCAACCCAACGGCACCCTCCATCGCTGATGACGACGTATGATTGAATATCTCGCTCAACGATCTAATCCCGTGACAAGGTAATTTCTTTTTTTTTAAATTAATCAATTATTGATTTCACTTGTAATACTGGGTAATTGGTACTTACGACGTTTGAAACGGTTTCTGGAGGCCTGATCTCATGAATGAGAAGTTGTTGATTCGAGGGTTAGAAGATTCGCCGGTGGAGGATGTGTGGAGACCTTTGTCGATGGTTCGATTTTTTCGAATTATCGAATATCCGTATTTCCTGGAAAACATCGTTTAGTAAATGGGAAGTGATTGGATGATAATTAAGAAATTCAAGGATTTTATATTATTGTATTTTGTATCAGAATAATTATTTGTCTTCTAATTAATTGATCTTTTCGTTTTTCGAATTATGAGCCTTTCATTTTGAAAGAGTGAATAATGTTTATGATAATAAACTACTAAATACTGCAATTGTATTAATTTTTTTTCTCAATGAAATTTAATTGAAACATTCATTTCTCAAATTGATATCATGGAATTGAGTCAGAAAATTGAAAAAATTGAAAAGATTGAGTAAACGGTTTCAGACGGTTTTGAGATATAATAAATCCAATTAATAAATACCTATAAATTAACAATGACAACATGATGACGGATGACAGGAGGATGACAAGCCCCACGACAGCAGTGACAAGCCCGTAATACTCATTGGGAGTTATGCATATCGATTCAACACTCGCCACTTGTTTCTGAATGACGGAGTTATCCTCGTACATGTCGTACCTCGAGTCGAGTACTTCGATCATCTCCCTCACGTGTTCCTCCTCGTTCTCTTCCTTCTCCTCCTCATCTTCCTCATTTTCCTCCTCGATTTGGCTGTCCCCCTTGGTTTCAGTGTCATTTTTCATGGCGATCAGTTCTTCGGGAAGAGTCTCGAGGGATCTTCGTCTACGTTTTCCAAATGACGGTTCACTGCGACCTGCACTTCCCGAGCAATATGCTGGTTGACAGCCATCACGACAAGATCGAACTGTTGCCTCGAACACTAGGAAATTGGATTCTGGGATTTTGAAGGCATTGAAACGAGCTTCGAGACTATCACCTTCACGCAAACGATCGAGTCCTGGGAAAACGTAATTGTCCACTGGGCAACTGCAAATAAAAATTAACATGAGTCTATTTTTTCTGTCGCGTATTTCTTCAAGGATTCATATTTTGCCTGGAATTCGAGAGATCCCCGAAGAAAGATATTCAACTCGTAACTCGAGGAAGACACTGATATATTTTTTTCTGCTATTGATAAATGAGGCTTTATAGATATTAATTTATGAAAAAAAAAATTGAAATGAGGAAAAATCGTCGGTGTTTACCCATATCGATCAATCAGCTGTACACTCCGGCCGGAGTAAGGATCCCGAGCGATGACATTCGTTGCGAAAATATCGCTGATGTAATTGTACCTGAAAATCCGATAAATATAACACTGTCTTGGGTGAAAAATACCGGTCGTTGGTGTGAAAAAACTCACCCATCCTGAGCCTCGAGTCTGAAGGTGAGAGGATCCCCGACGGCAATGGTAGTAGTCGGTCTCCCCTGGTAGAGAATTAATAATCGCACCTTCGAGCTCAATGTATTCTCAGCCGGCAAATACTCGATCGGAATGGGAGAACCGGACCTACTGATATGTCGAACATCAATCAATTTAATAAAGTCGATTCGAAACAGTTTATCTAATCATCTACAATCGAGTTAACCTGTCATACCCAGCGCCTATGTAGCCGGAAGTGACCACTGCTTCACCAGGACCGCGGAAGAGACAGGTGAGGTTGAAGCGTTTATCCCTTCCGGTTTGGACGTAATCCGAGAATTGTACCACAACAATATTCGTCATTGTGTCTCCGTACTGGAAAGAAAATATGATGAATGAGTGTGCGACTCGAGAATGAAAAGAAGAAAAAGAAAAAGTGCTAGTAAAAATTCCCAGGAGAGTATTCTGCATCAAAAGTTCGTTTGAGCTTTTAAAAATAATGACCCGACGAATGCAAGGAAAATAAGAGTCGAGTGTTACAATGACTATTTACCCTTTGAGTGCCGCATTCAGGATACCCCTGGGCACCACTGATCCTCAAGACATTCACGGTACCTCCATTTCCCCGGAAGAAACAGCGATCGTAGTAGCCGTAGGTGTAAATTCTACCAATGAATCCCTCGGGAGTCCTCAACGTAAACTCCATTCCATCTTCATTGCACACTTGGCTCACTGAATGTTAGTACAAGTTATTAAGTCATTTTATCAACTATGAGACGGCAGGTCTTCAACGAGTCTTTATTGAAGATTTTTTTAATTCCACTCGATGTGATTTTCATTTTAAATTTTATGTTTTCGGGAAAATTTCAATTTCACCACTGAAAATTGAATTTGAACCCCAAATATTTTACCAGAAATTGCATGTGGATAAATAGAATTCCCAATAAACGATTATTTTTTTTAGTGTTTATAAATTTTCAGTGAAAATTTTTCTCGAATAAATAGAAATGCAAAACATACCATCGAGACATTCGCCATCAACGCCCTGCCTGCCATTATTTCGCTCGTAAAAATCATAATCCGAGGTTGAATCATAATAAATGGGATTCCCCATAGCCATATCCCTGGAGTCTCGATCACTGAGCTCGCAGTTATCTCGCTCAGCTCCATACGGTGCAGCATACGAACGATAATTGAAGGATCTGCATACAAAATCCCGAGCATCAGCGCATTCCCTTTCACACTCGGGTAATGTAGATGCAGTTGTATATCTTCTGACGAAGGACTTGCGAACGCGCATTCCCTGGCTGACTTGGCGGAAATTCTCCTGTTCATCGCAACGAGAAAGTAGAGGTGGTCGTCCAATAATCGGACCACCAGCAGTGCCAACAGGTCGTGCATTGTAGACATCTCCATCGGTCATGAATCCGTCCATTCCATTCCCGTCGTATCCGCCCACGCCGATTGGTCTTACAGGAAGTGGTCCAGGACCGGCGTAGTGCGGACGTTCGTAACCCTTCGTACCACGCACGTCCTCTTCATATCCGGGATACAATCCGTTCCCTCCCAAGTACGGATTGTATCTTTACAATAAAATTTTATAATTAAACTGATAAAAAGTTATGATGCATATATATAAATGACAAAAATGTAAATATATCAAAAATGAATTTACAAAAAAAAATTTTAGTACCTGTCTCTATGTGGATATGGGTCTTTCTCAGGATAGCGATCTCCAGGATATCTTCCCGGAGGTAACCTAGCTCCCCCAGCACTAGGATAACGAGTCAGAGGATCCTCGGGTACGGGATAACGACCACCAGGGCTCGGGTAATCATCTCTGATGGGATATCGACTCCCAGTGCCCGACGGATACCGATTACCGAACGGGGGGTACCGATTCCCTGAGTACCCTGGACTGGGGTAGCTCTCCCCGTTGGCGGGCCACCGGTCACCACGTATTGGATATCTATTCAGTGTTGCGCAAAATTAATAATAATCTAAACTAACAATCCTAATGAATCATATTATATGTAACCAATATTTCGGGATTTTCGTGGGAAAAATAAAATGATTAGAGAAGTAATGATTAATGCCGATTCATGTACCTGTCCCCCACTGGTGGATATCTGTCCAGTGGATAACGATCACCGGGATACCTCTCGGGCTTCGACTCTGGGTACCGATCATCAGGGTAATAATTCGGATATTTACTACTCGGGTATCTCTCCCCAGGTAAGGGGTAGTGATCTGGGTATCGATCACCGTGAGGACTCGGGTAATTCTTGTCGTAATCGTCTGGATATCCTGGAAGGAACATTGAAAGAACGGGGTGAAGATTTTTTTGCGTGAGTGCATCGAGAAGAAAATTATTTCTGCTGAAGTTCACTGATTACAAGAAAATTCACGCATTTCCAATGCAAATGTTGATATCCCCTAGCAGTAATTTATTAGAAGTAATTTTTTTGTCAACGTGATTCCGAGGAATCAAATTAATTGAAAAATTACCAGGACGTCCGAGGAGTGGTCGCCCCACGTTCGTATCCTGACCCACAGGATCCGGTCGATAACTCGGATTATCTCTCTCTCCGTCTAAATATTGATCTGGAGATAAATTATAAACGAATAAATTATGGTCTATTCGGCATTTGCCTTTGGGTTGAGGTAAAATAAATATTGAGTGCGTGAAATTTAAAGTTTTCCTATGATTATTATTATTTTGCCATTGAAAAAAAATCCTCACGCATAAGATTCTCGTAATAATCGTAATCAGCGTCGTAGATTATTCGATGCCCATCCCGTTGGTTAAATCTGCTCAAGCGACAGATGTGATAGTGTTCAGAGAACACAGCACTCCGGCACTGAAAACTGGTCTGTCTCAAACACTCGTCCAGACATTCGCTGAGACTTCTACCTGTGATTTCCGAGTGGAATTCACCACTGAGCCGGGAATTCCGATACCGCTGGAAGGCAGTATCAGGACGTCGACCATCTGGGTAGAGATGGGCGGCGACATTGTTATCAGGATACTCCGAACCACGAGCTGAGGAAGGATCTACTCATCATAAACTGATATTTTTTATTTTTATAAACAATAATAAATATGTAATCAATCACTGCGACGGGTTCGTATCGCAATTTTTTCCTTTTCATAACTAAACCTTTTTTATAAATAAAAATGTGATCTATCAAACAGGTATTCATAAATCTGCCATAATTTTCGTCAATTCCAAGATATTGACGAGGAATTGAGCGCGATAAAAAATTTAATTATAATTTATCCTAGTTTTTAACTTTCAATTTCTTTGGTAAATTAGAATAGACAAGTACTCACGATTGTCTAGACAGACTAAATCGTAGAAATGGTAGGATGGACTCCCGCTCATACCAATGTCGTCCTTCTGGGAGACAGAGTCCTCCTCGGAGATGACACACTGTCGGGTCTGCTCATCGTACTCAACACTACGACAGAAATATTTCTCTGCACGAAGACACAACGCCTGACACTCATCTAATGTGACATTCGTGTAAATGTCAACCTCGAAAGGACCTCGCAACCGCTTATTCTCTTCCTTTACGAAAACCGCCAGTCCGTCGCAGCGACGTTCAGCTGATGGAGAAGATAATATTGTAGACGAATTCTCATGATAAATCGATCACTCCCTCCCATTTTCTCTTGTTTAAAACACAGCGGGTGAAAGTAGAAAATAAAAGTATGAATCCGCAAAAATTCTATACTATCATTGGAAAACCAAAAAGTGAAAAATTAATAATATCTTTCAATTCTCTGCAGAACTCAAATTTTTTTTCCTCCAATTTAAAGTCAGTTATTTCAACCGCTCATTAACATGATGTTAATTATCATTACAATGACAATATTCACCATTTAAACATGTATTCTCCAGGTAATCAGAGTTTGAATCATCCTCGAGTAATTCCGGGTGAGTTCTCCGGGTGAATCGACTCAACAAACAGCTGCGTGTCATCGAGTCAAAAGAAGCTGAGCGGCAAACAAAACTAAATTCATTTAGACACCTGAGAAAAAATAAATTGACGATGTAAAATTTTCTAATCCTGGAGATGATGGAAGTCATTGAAGTCTGAGAATTCCGTTGTAATGTATTATCATCCCAAACAATCGAATCAAGGAAAATTTCGATTCCCGAAATCTTCCAAAAAACAAGATAATGATAAGAATTAGTTATTAATAATAATCACTGAATTATGAATTATTAATAATTATTGATTATAAATAATGATTAATGATGAGAAAGAGTTTCAAGTATCCGGATAATTTTATTGAAGTTACCTGTCCTCGCAGACAGTTCTGTTAGCTGCACTGACTTCCTTGACGTCAGTGGCTGGAAGTTTCAGTTTCTTCCTGGCATGTCTCTCAAAGACGTACCGACGGTTCGGGCAATATCTCTCGATTTGATTAGCTGCAACGAGTGGTAATAATCTCGTTAGTTGTCTCACCAGAATTGTTGGAGGATTTTACTTACAATTGAGGCAGACTTCGACAAAGTGCACACTATTGGGTACCAGCATTAGATTTCCTATTCCCTCTGGCAGGGCTTGTTCTCTTGTCAAGTAACACGTGCTCTCCTCGTACTCAGCAGCACCATTGAAAGAGGCTATTCGACTTCCTGGTTGAAAGTCAATGGAGGTACAAGCTCGTGGTAAATTATTAGAGTTGCTGCGATCACGTAGACACAGGTCTTGACACTTTTCAAGAACTCTGAATGGCGGGGCCGAGTCTCGTATCTGCGATTTAATTTCACAGTGGAGTTTTCATTGGATTAAATGTAAAATGAGAGTTAAGGGTGTGCTACAACTTTTTGACTAAAAGTATCATTTTTTTTCTGGCCACTTATCATTGGGATTGTTGTGAAAAAATATGTTTTTCTTTTTTCTCATCGAATTTTCTAATCGAATAGCACAGCTTTAACCAGATGAATGATTCACTCAAATTTCATACATTTTATTTAAATTAAATGAAGTTTATTCAATTTATCATTTACAATTTGAGATAAATCAATCAATTAAGAAAACATTAATTCGATTTATCGCATTTCATCCTTTTGCATTTTTCTTTTTTTCTGCTTTTTTTTTTTCAAAAACCTGTGGAAATATTTTGAAACCTACCACTTCATCGTCGAATCCTTGAAGTTGTTGATCTGGTAATCTCTCATAAACGACTCTTCCTGCCCCGCCGTTGCAGGTCGTTTGGGCTTGAACATAAGATTCATTGATCAGATGGGGAATTTAGGGAATAGCGAGGCCATTATGCCATGTAAAACCCAAAAATCGTTATGGCCAATGGTCACGCGACCTTCGGACTCACATGTAACTTCATTATGACTATTGTCCTTATTCCAAATGCAAGCGTTTTTTTATTTTAATCGGATTTGTATGGTAATTAAACAGAGACTGTTCTCCCGATCTCTTCCAGAGATTTCGTGAATATGATTAAGTTTGATACATTGAGAGGGATAAATACTGTGGAAATCGTTAGTCTTGCATGCAAGAAACTTTTCGGCTGAAGAATGTCTGTCCCAGAAACAAGTCCTCCAGAATTAGTTAGTCTGATTTTCAACTGATAGAAATTGTTACTTCCTTTTTAAACTGACGACTTCAGCTGCACAAATCAAGTTAAGAATTTCCAAATAAAATAGAGAATATTAATAATATTACAGCGTAAATATTAGCTCTTAGCAAAATGTATTGATGTCTTCAAGAGCTTTATGGGAATCCCCTCCAATTTCCTTTGGAATAGGGGAATTTTGTTTCATTATTATTATTCAGTGAATTATAAATTAAAAGGAAGAGAACGATGGAATTTTGAATAGCGCACATTTTTTCTGTGAAGTTGATGTTGTTATTGTTGTGGATTTTTTGAATTTCCATAAATGGGAAAATAATATTTCTTTCAACTTACCATTGGCGAGCATTTTGAGAATAGTCAGGACAGTAATAGCTTGAACCATGCTGAACATGTTATGAGTCCTTATCATTTTGAGCATGAGCATGCACAGTACACTATCGAGTGGTCATACCACTTATCAATTGATTCTGCGGTACAAACGAAATTCAAGTGATTAATCATCTTGGGTTTAACAATAAAAATTACAATACAAAGCACTTTTTTCAATCTATCTATCTGTTGACTGATAAGTCGAGACTCTGAGAGAACAATCACTCCGGTGTGTGCGGTTTATTGACAGGACAAAGTTTGAATGTGAAACCATGAAAGCAGAAAATCCAACTGGATAGTTTCACTGGATTCGAGAGAAGTGGGGTCTCCATTATCCTGAGATTAATCCATCGTTAACCCATAATTTCAAGGCTGAGTAATGGCCCCAGGAGCAAAGAAACATTTAATTTGATTTCGTAATTTCCCTTTTTCGAAAATGATGATCAAGATATGACCAGCGGATGTCCCTTTTCTAGCATATCGATTTTATCAAAACCGTCTTCCGGACATCACAATCCCCTCATCACTGATGCTTTTGCATTTTTTACTGGTAGCATCGCGTGTTTCATCAGCTCAAACCAGCATTATTAACTTTTTCAGTGAAAAATTGAACGACTGGGGAGAAAGGGATATTAATTTCGACATCTAAACACACGGATGATGGCATCATCCTTGAATTTTTATAACAAAAACTAATTCACTAGAAATTCGGGGCTGAGTAAACAGATGCTGAATAGAAAAATCTATTCTTTAAAAATCTTCAAAAATTACTTAAGAGTAAAAATGACCAATATTTCAATGTTGAACATTGATAATATATAAAATTGTTGATTAAAAACAGTTTGATGAATATATTTCTGGGGTGAATTGAAGGAATTTTCAATATCAATATCAAAATCAATAGAATTTTGCGATTTTTAATACAATTTTTTCAATTTAAATATTTCTTCGCGAGACTTGAATTTTTCTTTGCTGTTCTGCGAGTTTTGGATCGTTTGATTTAATCTGTGGGAATAATCCCCATATCATTAGATGCTTAGATTCATTGTTGAAATTAATAGTACTCCGAGCTGTGATAACTGCTAGTGTAATGGATAGTTGATAATGCGACGAGTGGAAGTTGGAACTACGCTCTGATGATTGTGCACAGGAGTGTGCTGAGCTGTCCCTTACGTACCGACTATTTCATAGGACGATGACAAATACAAGAGCAAAACATTTTATATGTGTGTGAAAATGTTCAGGGTGAGTGCCCATTCGGAATTCCATTTGGTCTCCGAGTTCCGACCAGCGAATACAATGTACGTCCGGCAAACCCCTCATTTGTGCTTTTCACTGTCAATTCTCATGTTATTTTTACACTATTAATTATCTTTCCTTATCACCGGTCCTGTGATCCCAGGGGAAGATTTTTCCTTTACCCCCATTTACCCTCAATATGCGCCCTCATTTATTACCCTAAAATCCTGACGCCTTACACGAGACCCGACGGTTCCATTGTCATTAACTATTTAAATCCATTATTTAATCATTAAAAGTGATAACCCCAGTCATTTTGTCAATTCATTTTATTTTGTAATGAACAATTATTCATTATCCAATTATTTATAGCGTCATTCTGTCATTTTTCACTGAATTTCCATGAGTTTTTTTACGTATTTTTTATTATTTATTAGTTAATTTGGTTTATATTGATCTTTTACTATTTTTACATTTTTTTATCATTTCTTAGAGCTTTTCTGGAATTTTTCTGTCAATGTGGTTCGTCGATTTTGGGATCTAGTTCTAATTTTCACGAATTCGCAACGCCTGATTGGTAATTTACAGAGATCGATATGCGGTCCCCGAAAATATGGCGTCAATACGAATTGCGAAAGACATTATTACTTCATCCCAGACCGGAAGTGAGCTTAATTGACCGTGGGAATGAACAGATTAATTGAATCTCTCCACCGAATCGAATTTTCTCCAGGAATGATTGGAGAAATTATCGAAAAAATCACTCGATAGAATAAAAAAATTACTCACGTCTACTTTTAAGATGACTCCCAGTACCTCGCAGATGATGGAGTTCCATCCATGGATTAATCAATCAAACTGGAGAATCCGCCTGATTGCCAACAGAGAAATTAGGAAAAGGACTCGAGTCAATTTTCTCTGGAGTACAAATTATAAATATTTCAGAAGATACAGAAAAATATCCCCTAGACGCAGATATTTTTATAGATAATCCCTAATACACTCAGTAAATTGGTTTATTTGTTATTATATTATTTGAAATATTTTAAAGTTATTTGTTGCGCTGAAATAAACGCATTCTCTTAAAATAACAAAAATATTCACTTGTTATTAAGAAAGAATTTATTTGGATTTAATATTTGAGTGAATTTAAATGAATTGATTTTTTCTATTTAAAGAAGATAATAGCAAATCGGTATTATTTTCTTTCTTCAGCTTGAGAATTTTCTGCCCCCTTTCCGCGAAAATTACCGGTTTTTGGAGTTTTCTGACAAATTGTTGATTGACCCGAAAAAATATACCGTTTTTGCATTTTATCATTATTGCACAATCATGACATTTTGGATGTCATTAAACAATGATAAAATGAAATGACGGTATATTTTTCACATCAATCCAATCAACGATTCGTTGATAAACTGAAAGAAGTAATATTTGCTAAAAGGGAGCAGAACACCCTCAATTGGACTTATCTCTTCCCTAGGTTTTCAAAGAATATTTGCAAATCTAATAATCAGCAAAATATTCATTGCACTTTTTTCGTAGCCACCGACGACTTCAACAAAAAAGCCCCTAACAACAATTTAACGATGTCCATTATTTTCGTAGAAATTTCCAAAGAGCTCATCAACGTTAATTTTTTTTCGAGCGCTAACTTTTTTTATACTTCTACTATTTTATTACAGAATTTTTGTGGGTACTGTAATTATGGTGATTTGAACCTTTTTACCTGTTTTGTTCTAAGATCTACTAGTAAACGATGGTGGAAACTGATTAGTACAGGTTTTATGTTGGATTTAAAAAAATCGAGAGCCGCATACGTCAGACTGCGTATGAGTGCCGCGAGTAACACCTGTAATCAAACTGACGATGGAAATCGGTGTGAACGTAATAATAGGTCCCGATGAGAGTTCTGTACAGCCGATTCTGCTTCAACCGATTTTCATCGAGTGGTGGGGTGAGATGAATTTTTCTGGCCTTGTGCGACAACGGATGTAGTTCTTTTGTTTTCAATTTCCGCAGGGCATTATTATTGGACTCGCACGAAAACCCCCAACGGTCGATGCCCACCATCAGCGCGATCTCAACGCCTTTTTTTTTTTTTTTAATTTATTTATTGTGTGGGAGTATGGGAAATTAGTCAATCCGGACATGCGACGGAACCATGGATTAGATATTCCGGACGGACATGAGTGTTGGATTTTGTGGGGGGTAATTATTCGATATTTGTCGATGAAAATTGCCGCCAATTAGGGTACCGTTATCTCATATTCGGGTCATACAGTGGTTTTTTTTTTTTCATTAAAAAAAATTTTTTTTTTCCATTTTTCCCGGTGTTTCACTTGCATTTAGAAGTTGCACTTTTAGGGGTGCAATGCATACTTGCAATTCATCGTCTCAATTTCCAATGCTTGCCACCGCGAATTTTTATCTCATTCGAATTTCCCTGAAATTTGAGAAGTCTGGTTTAGACAAAAAAATGCAATTTAAAAAATTGACTTTTTTGATAATCCAGGAAATTTTTACAGATCGTCGAATAAAATCAGAGATTTGTCTTTTTCTGTGCGAAAATTTTCCAATTATTTAAATCCTGATTTTTCAAAATTTCGAAGTCTTTTTTGAAAGCAACCCCCAAGAAATAAAGAGATTCGATCCAGAGTAGATAATTTCCTTTTTTGCGTTGTTTACCGCAGATAACAGGGGAATCCCCCTGGAGAAGCCTCAGGAATCCACAAGATGGCACCAGCAGCTGCCGCGACTCTCATTGAATCCCGCGGAATCAATCCGCGAAGAATCGTCCCTCAAAAAAAAAAAAAAACAATTCTGATTTCCCAAGAGCTCATGCTAATAAAAATATTCTATTCTTCATTCTTGCAGGTCTTGCAGCACTTGCATCAGAGTAATCCACCTCCTCCACCGCTCAAAAGAATCTGACGAAATGGGTCAAGGTCAGAGTCAAAATACAATAGAAAAAAAAAAAAAGACGGAGGGCTCGAAAAAACTATTACGCAATGATGAGAGACAAATGCATTATATGTCACTGGGGCAATCTATTTAGGACCAGCTAGTTATCAGGTAGCCACCATTTTGTGAACCAATTGCGTAACAATTGCCAGAGTTGCCACAATCATTCGCCATTTTGGACAAAACGCGTCGTCTTCTACGTTTTTGCCGTCGATTTGAGCGCATGTGCAATGTGCAGCCCACGCTCGTTGTCGCGTCGTACAAGGTCACCAGTACCGCGAGTTTAATTACATAAATTAGCCACTGCCCTCCCCACCGCATCATACTCCCATCCATATTGTAGATGATGCGTATTGACGTTCCGCTATTTTCCTACATTGGCACATACCACAAGAACAACCGAATTCCATTTATTTTCGTCTAATTAAAAACTCCAATTGCATTGCCACTCTAAACTGCACAGCAGTTTCTAATAGTCTGAAAAGCCGTAATCCACAGAACCAGGAAAGACTACGGATTTATTTTTAATTGAATAATTAGTTTTTGACTTTTCCTGAAAGTTTTCACTTTCAGGAAATATTCTCGAAACGTCTTTTTTAATATTTTTCTCCATACTGGGTCGTAATTTTTTACGATGAACCAAGCGCTCTTCAGGTATTAAATGTTGAATGGAAATGCGAGTAATTAATAAACGAATGAAAAACATTAAAAACTCGTCTACATGTAGCGTGCACGTTGCGAGAGTTAGATATTCTCATCGAGAGGATTTGCTTCTGTGTAATAATAATTTAAATTTTATATTGGAACCAATGACTTAATTCTGTTAAAAAAAAAAACAATAATGTCGAATTGAAAAAATCAATGTTGCGAATGCAGTTGTGGGATGCCTCGCATAAAACAATAATGTATTCCCATGCACGTAGAGTTGAAGAATAAAATTATTACATTAGAGATAACGATAAAGATAAAGATATGAGTAGCTATCAGGTGAGAAGATGGACATGAAGATGACAAAAGAGAGAACCGCTTGGGGAGAGGTTTTAGTAAGAGCATCAATATAAATCGCAATATCTATTTCTATGCAACGAAGAATGAAATATGTCTGGGGATTGAAACAGAACAACTGATTTAAAAAAAACAAACTTTACTTCCACAATCAGTAAAAAATACATTTATTCCGGTTGGAGAACCGATTCGGCAGCAAATAAACGTGATATTGTCCCTCCAACCGTTCACCAGGTAGGAAAAACGATTATGAAACGGATAGGACTCATGAAACTTTTATACACAAAGTCATATAACCAGGGCAGATCGATTGAGTAAAGTGTGGTCATCAGCTGGACTATTCTTTATTCTTTCAAAATGCACAGTTGCCCACTCCGATTTGCCCTTGAAACGCCTCCTCACGTTTTACAACGATCTCAGCGCTCGTAAATATGAAAAATCATATTCTGGATTTTGTTGCTGCGAATATCGATGATTTATTTTAGCAACCGTCACATCAATTAGAATGCCAGTTTCTTCATTAACAGGTACATGTGCTGGTCTATCTCGAAGCCATGGAGATTGTTGGCATCACCTTGCAGCCTCATGAGAAGACCACCGAAGGACACGTATGCAGATCTGCAATAGAGAGAGAAAAATATTAAAACTCCAGCATTACCCCCAAATTCTCCCACCACGTCCCAATAATATTCCAGAAAAAAAAAAAGGGAAAGCCTCCAAGTCATGTGCCTCAATGACTCGAAAAATTTCTCCTCATGAGAATAAAATAAAATTAAAACAGATAAAGTTCGGGCAAACAATCATTCACCTCTTGTGCTAATGCATTACTCTTTAATTACAGTAGCTCACTGATCACATAATTATATAATTCATCGATATTTTTTAAAAAGTGCAAAGCTTCGTTCTGATCCTCTTCGATTAGACACGTGTGGTTTAACAACAAATTAATGGAGAGGGGTAATAAAAAAAAGAGATTGTGAATAGGAATCGGAGGATGCGATGGCATTATTAAAAATGACGAACATAGTTGTGCTTAATGCGACCGTCGTAAATGCAGTGTCGATAGCGGTCGTGTATTGGTTGAGAATCACACAACCAGCTAACCACACTGCCAGCACGCCGGTCGCCATTGAGGACCGATTAATCATCACTTCTTCAATAGTCACAACAGGCTGTCATCCAGCATTCATTTCTCCATGAGTTGTTCATTCATTAGCATAGTCTCACTGCCAAAACTGGAATTAATGCTCGAGCTAAGAGAGATGCTGCAGAGTTGAACATAATGCGACTGAAGGACCCAATTGGCATCCAAGTGCAATCCTCTGATTTCGTGTATTTCTAGATATGCCAGCTCTGGCTTCCGGTTCACCTGCCAAACGGTGAATATCCCAGTCTGATTGGCGAGAGCAACTCGTTTTATTTTTGTCTTCTTTCTCGAATGGCGTATCACCCCGAGGATATGGCTCATCAATTTTAACCTTCGCCAAGTATCGAGCCAAGACTCGTTTTAACTATACAAACTCCCGATTGAGGAATTAATTATTTGTCGTTGCAATGCATTTCGAAAATATTCGACGATTATCTTGTCGAGAGAAGAATTAAGTTGTATCTGCATTTGTGATAATGAATGTTTGGAATTTGAGTCGAAACCTTTTTGATCCACCGCAACTACCAAATTTTACATCCAGTGGTGAGGAATAATGCGGAGAAATACCGCAATTGAATTCAATTGAATTGAATTCATCAATTCATTAGTGAAATAACGTGAATAAATACTCAAAGTGGTCCCGATCTTTTATAAAAGCTTGTCCCCACCCCCAAAATACAATTCACCCCCTCAAAAAATTCATGGATTATCGAAGCATTGGCATAAACAAAAGCAGGTGAAATGAAATGAAAAAGATTGATCACATGAGCTTTATTATTATTACATAATCTCAGTCGGATGTTCCACAGCCCCCAACTGCATTCCCAGCTGTTCCTGCTGTCGTCTCATCTCGACGACGAGAGATACATCTCCAATAACAAAATGCACAATAATCATCTTAAAGCTACAACTAAAAATTATCATGATGACAAATTAAAAAATAATCCCAATGAGTATTTCAATCTGAGCGTAGACATTACTAATGAGATCAATGACAACAAAATGACAACAAAATGACAACAATGGCCTTGAGCAGGTTGAAGCTTATTTCATAACAATTGTCGCGGGGAAAGTGATCGGAAGGTGTGGCAAGGACACTCTCCCCCACACCAGCACAATACCCAGTAATCAATGGTGGGGAATAAAAGGAATTAGGATGAACTCGAGGAGCTCCGATGGTTCAAGTCAGACGCGATTGCAACGGTGACGATGACAGAAGAGATGTCGTACCAGATAGTGCATTTACAGTATTCAGGGCCCGTGTAAACGCGCATCTGGCACGAGCCCCAACTGCCGCAACATTTCCTATTTCATTTCATTTAAGATACTTATCCATTCACTCTCTCTCTCTCTCTCTCTCCCTCGCTCTCTCACACACACAGGGACCCATACACACCGAAATGACAGTATAATTTAGCTTCCGTCAGTCCACTCCCACGATACAACCTCGTTCCCAATTCCCCACAAATTACCCGAATATGCATTTCAATTTTTTCCTCAAAAAAAATACGAGAGAAAAAAAAAAAGAAAACGCCCCGCCCAAACTCGCGACCGCGTACCCCACCGTCATCCCAACGTTTCTCGATTGATAAATTATCGATTTCACTGGCCCGTCGAAGAAATCACGATCAGCTGTTCCATTGAGTCGACCCAACGCGTACAAATCAGCTGATCGGCCCGACAGACAGCAGCGCCTGCATTTATTGTTTTTCCAGGGCTCCCCCTCCGACGCAAAATAATTCCGTACACCAGGTAAGAATGCAAAAATCTACACCCTCGTGAGGATAACCTTGAGACACCTGGTGAATGCGGATTGCCCATGAAATAGCGAAACCGATGGGACGATTACCCAGGAGGTTGGCGATAGTACTAACTAGAATGCCAATAATTTTCCACCCAATAATCGTTGACCGCGACTCGGTTGCGCCCAGGGCTTGGGAAAAAGAGAACGAGACACATCCTCGATGCACTAATAATAGACGCGCATTGCAGTCTCGCGTCCCTCCTAATACCCCTCCTTAAACAGCCTCTCCTCCCCGCGTCATTTATATGCACTATCCCCTCCGATGAATCTACAACCTCGATTTACTCGGGCCAGCGCAAACTTGACGGTAAAATGGCCGATTATTCGTATTCAATTTATCTTGAGTGTTGAATATTACAACCAATTCCAACTGCATTTCCCCATTCAAATCTAAACAACTCTAAACAATCATAAACAACCCCAAACAACTCTCAACAACTCTCAACAACTCTCAACTCTCAACACTAGCAACCAATGGTATCACTATCTCTCCACTCGTCCATTTATCCTCGATCATGGGTAATCCTTGGATATTAATTAAGTTGATGGATTTTATTTTCGATAATATATGATGTACGTATCGTGTACGTATCGTGTACGTATCGCGTATGTATCGTGTAATCGAGGCGCGTAACGTCTCCCCAACGCGGCGGCTGGGTGAATACTAGTTGTTCTAGCAATAGCTAGGAATGAGTTAAAACCGAGAGTAGTTACACTCCCGGGGAAGTGTATGGTAGTTGGTGGGTGCTAGTTCATGTTATATGTGTTGGAAAACGATAGGATTCGTTGGGGAACGCGACGCACTGGTTGTTACACTGTGACGATTTGTGCGAGCTCAGCTCAAGAAGAAGAACAAGGAGATTATTACACAATCGACGTTTAAACTCAGTGGATGCCTCAGCTATGCCAAGTAGATGAATCGGTGTTCATGTGCTGACTGCGCGTTTTCAATGTGCTATTTTATTTTTTAGTTTCTCATTTTTTTTCATTCTATTACTTTCGCTAATTACTGGATATCCATTCGATATACGTTGAGCGCGGTTTGCTCATTTTTTTTTTATCGATTTTCCTTCGGTTTTTCGATTTTTCTAAATGTTCATGTTTCGATTTGACCGATTGTCCGGTGGATACCACTTTTGGACGGGATTTTTAATAACAAAACTCATCGGCGAGTGGATTAAGAACGACTGAGGTACTCGGGAACGTTTACATTTGTATATATAATGGCATTCGTATATAATTGGAGGTGGGATCCACGTGTCGAGGACGAAATTGTGATAGCGTGCCAAGAGGAAATCAAGGGAGATGCAATCGCACTAATTTTTCGTCTGACTTGATATTTTCATCGGGTGGGAAATGATTTTTGATTTTTTTTTTACGATTTTTATGAACGATGACGGAGGATTTTGCCGTTTTTCGGTGGTGACTCAGGACAGTTATGTCCTTGGATCGATGAACGGATGTTTCGAGGGGTTTTCGCGAATGGTGGGATGGGCTCCAGGTCTAGATGCACCGGAGTTTGGGCGTTGTTTGAATTTTTTCGGGATAATTGTTGGATAATTGGATGAGGATCGCGATGCTAACGGCGCAGCGATGCAACGTCGGTTTTTCAATGACGAAAATAAATCGGGATGGCCTAACGAGGGATTACGTAACCCATCTATGCTTGGCCCGACTAACGATTACGTTCCGACGAGAGGCGTATGAGAATGTGTCCTTGTTTTTCGTTTGGTAGCGGCCGACTTCGGGTACGACCCGGAAAACTCGTCGATTCAGACTGCACGCGTGTTTTCTGACTCATCGTCCTCAACTTCATCCCCACGATATCAATTATTCCACGCTTATTATCAAATACTCTCAAGTCTACGCTGTTCCCAGATACATGATTTATTTATTTATTTTTAACGAAATTTGTTAAAATGTGAGCAAGTTCCTGGGAAAACTTGTTCTCACGTTCTGGTCATCGTCCGACGGCCCCTTATCAATTATTTACATTCTATATAAATGATAATTCCGTAGAAAAATTATGGTTTTATTGAATATCTTGGAATCTAACCGGGCTAATGGAATTTTTATGAGAACTTTTTTTTATCGCGCAGAGCAAGATTTGGAAAAAAAATTACTCGATTTTTCTCAACGCTTTGGGCGCTCCAGATTTTTCTTCAGGGTTTCATCTTTGTGATAAAAAAAACCCTGGTCTTTTGGAATTAGTAACGCTGGCAATTTTCATTAACCGATAATGGAAATGAGTCGATATATTTATCACAGCTGTGCATTACAATGGACTGAATGGCGTGACCAAAAAAAAATAGACGAGAAAAATCTTGAAAATAACGCGAGTTATTTTATTCCGTTCAAGTTTAATTTAAACTTTTGGATCAGGGGCTTCTGACAAGATGAATTTCCTCATCCTCACCACTGCCAACATTCCCGCACAGCGATGATTTTTCCGATGCAAATGCAGGCCCCCATTAACTCGTTAAAGAATGTCTATTACGGCCCTGGTTACTCGACTATCGACAAATTGCGTAATCAATTTCCTAGTGGCCTGCTCTCACAGTTATGCATGTGAATACGTGTCAAAGTGCTTTTCACGATCATTGAGAATTGTGTGGCACCATATGACGTGAATGTATGACGTTTAATCATTTATTTTTCCACAATCAA